ATTTTAAAATGAGTAAATGGGTTGCGGGGTGTTCGAACTAGTAATGCAGCAGCACTGATATCATAAAACATGTTTTCTATTTCAACGGTCACCGGCGAAACGATACTATCGAACTGTGTGACACGATAGAGTTCTAATAACGCGCTTACAATAGCCTCTTGATGTTCGCGAAACTGTTTTTCAAAAAACACTTGATTGACGAACGCGTACTTCAAGCTGTTCTTTAAGGTCAATGTCTGACTTAACCTTAATGGCGAATTTATGAATTTCAGTAGTAATCGACTTAAGGGAACTATCTTATGGGATTCTTCCCTTAAAGTAAAAGTGACACATAACATCTAGAGTAACCTGGGCTAAAAATAGCATTTATTTTCTATTGCATGCATATAACTTAAAGTTTAATGTATTTATAAACATTTAAAATTTTTCATTGGCTAGACAAACTAACAAAAAATACAAATTTAAATATAAATATCGATAATCTTTAATCGATATTAAAAAAAATCGATATATCGAAACAGTATATCGATAAGTTCGATATATCGTTGCCATCCCAACAGCTGCGTGATAACATAAACCGAAAAAATATTGCACTCAGATTTGAATTTTGTAATGTGAATAAAATAAAGGGTTGTATGAACCTGGAAAAATAATCAAATTTTATTTTTTAACTAAGCCTTATTTTCGACGAATGTACCATTATTACTATACTACACATAAATGTTAGGATTGATTTTTTTTTATTGTTGAATTCTTAATGTTTTATCGCCAAAAACTAGAAATTAAAAAATTATGAAATACTGCTCTATATCTCCTATAAGTATGAAAATTTCAAAGTATGATTAATTTTCTATTATTGCTCAGCAAATCGATAAAGAAAAATACACTAGATCATTGTGTGGCAGCTAATTAAGAGAACTGATCATTATTATATCATTATCAAACTGATGCATTACTCAAATTAGAACAATGTAATGTTAGCAATTTTTTTTTTGCGGAAAGATTAAAATATAAATAGCTGATTTTTGTGAAATACATTTTTAGATGTATTTTTTTGAAAACAATTTTTTTAACACAGGGGATGGGTTAAAAATAGTAAACACATGTTATTTTATTTCGAAATTTTATTTTAAAAATGTTATGAAACTTGCGCATTTGAGTTTTTTGTGTAACTTTTCAGTTTTAAAAATTAAAAATTTCCTACAAAGAGAAGGTACCTTTCCACTTTCAGGGCTTTTAGAGTAAAACGAGTTATGTTTTAAAAGAAAATTATTTTTTAGCAAAAAATGTTATATAATCCAGAAAAAATCAATTACACACATTTGTTAAGTTAATAAAAAAAATAATTGCATATACCATTGTATTGCAAGCAAATATAAAACTTTATATATGATTTTCTCAAAATTAAAAATTTTAAACTACGTTTTTTTTTATTAAAACTTTTTAATTAAAATAGATATTTTTTACAACCAATATATATCTACGAAATGAATGGATATGTCTATGACGTATTTATGTAAATTATTAATGATTTACTTAATACTGTTTTTTACGGTTAGAGGGACTGATAATCTACAGTATTTAAAATAAATGTTTGTAATTAAATCAATTGTTTTTGACAAATACGTTTTAGTAAAAATTAAATACAAAACAAATTATCGTTTATTATTATACTTATATCCCGTAATAGATGCCTATGGTTTCTTATGTAAGAATTAAACATATTTATTAACCTTTATGTAAGTTAAAAAAAATTGAGATAATGAGCATCTTAAAAAACCTCGCAAATGCAAATATAATGTTAAACTTAGAATTTGACATAACGCTAAGTGTTATTTTGAAAATTATCAAGGATAAACACATACCTAAAATTTGATAAGATATTTTAGAGTTCACCCCATAAAATTTGAACTATCCAAGTAGTACATGACTCGCCATTCACGATTGATTAAAAAATACATATGCAAAAAGAATAACGCACTGCAATAGCATGATTTCACATCCTACGTTAATACATGTGCACTAACAACTGTCTGACCACTATTACACTGTTTTAACTCGTCTTGAATAAAAACCGGTTTTTGTTTGAAATCCAGATATACCATTAAGTTACTATATCGGTGTCCAAATAATATAATGTAGTTACCAATAGTCTTTCCATTACTACATATTTTAGATTAGATATAAATATATTATTTGATGTCCTACGATAGTTAATTCGACGACACATTCAAATAACGCTGCAAAATATGACAAAAGACAATTGTAACATGACAATTCAAATCAAACGTCGTGCATGCTATATGCATTTTCCTAAATGATCATGGAACTATGTGATCCCCACCTACCTTCCTCATCAGATCTGACTCCTTGTGACTTCTGCCTGTATCATACGGCAAAAACGGAGCTAAAAGAACACCGATTTGAGTTAAAGGGCGAAGCTTTAGAAACTTTACGAACGACGTTACAGGGAGGTCCCAGCATGTCTTTCAAAAGTGTCAGAAAAGATGGACCAGGCACATTTATATAAATTTAATTACAAATGAAAAGTATATGGAAATATTTATATTTTGTTAAAGCTATATTTAAAGATACAGTAAATATATTAAGTGATAACTTAATTTATTTTGTTCTATAATTTTATATTGAAAAGTAGTTTTTTAATTTAATTATTATGTCAACGATTTTGACTTGTTATCAATATTTGATAAAAAAAAAGAATTTAGGTGTTTTTACCCATACTTTTAAATTATGTTTTATTATATATCGATATTAATGATATTTTTAATTTTTATATTTTTAGTTGATTCATTACAATGAAATATTTTTGTGTCGATATATTCAAATTAAAATATTTTTACCCAACCCTATTTAGTCATATCATGATTACCGTAATAATTTTTTCAACGCTACAGACTCTATAGCATTGACAAAAAAAATTACCAAAAAAAAGACCCAAGGTCAAGAAAATAGTTTTATCATTATGCTTTAAGCGATATCAATTTGTTCCAACAGTCTTGTTATGAATAAAGTTTATATTACATTAACTTACAGTTTTTTGCAAAAAAATCTGCAAATTTTAATTGATTGTTAATTTTGTTCTCCAAAAACATATTATTATAATTAAAAGTTAATGATGTCGTCTTTTGAAAATACTTATTGGCCACTAAATACTAAAGGTTTCAACAACAAGATACCAGCAGTTGGTTGTAAGTCTCTTCATTAATTTATTAAATATTATTTTTGTCTAACTGTAAAATTCTCATATCAGATAATATAAATAACTGTTACCTTAAAAAAATTAGACTAATATACTCATTTTTATACTAGCAAATTAATTTTATTATAACTAAAGAAATTATTTAGAAAATAAAATTAATGTTTTAGAGAATTTTAAGTTATTCCAAAGGAATAACTTATCATTTAAGTTAACTTAAATGATAATCACTTAACTTTATCATTCAGTACAAATTTGTATTATTTAACTTAAAAACTTAAATAAATGATTTAACTGAAGTTAATTGGGAGATTGAGTGGTGTATTCCCCCTTAAAACAATAAAATTTTCTACACTACAGAATTTTCAACAAATTCGCATAAAAATGTGTCTTTTTAAATGGCTCAAATAAAATTTATACATACATACATTCCGCTTTCCAGTGATCATATTTCAATAATTTTAAAGAAATTAATATAGTTACTTTAATTTTTAAATATGATTTTTTTTGTTTGATGCTTAAAATTATAATGCAAATTATTATCAATATCATTATAAAAATATTGTTATGTAGAATCTTCTTTGTTTGCAAAATAGTTGTAGAATTGTAGCTAACTATTTAGGAAATTGAAATTAATCTTATTAAATGTTGTACTTTTTTATTGTTCTATAGTTGGCACATACTTGATAAGTGACAAAACGACAATCTACAAAGCTCTGGATACTGCATTAGCTGCTGGTTATCGTTTAATAGGTAATATAATTTTTTGAAATTTATCAATACTAATTATGTTTATATGTTTATTGATGTTATAGCTTCCTTAGTAAAATTGAACCTCAATACTTGCACAGCAAAGTAAAAGTACATTTAGTTTATATATACAGTGACTCGTCTATCATAATCATCTCAATTACTTGCAGAATAAAATTAATTTCTAGAATATTTTGAATATAGACTGGAGGTAAAATGTATGACTATTTTTATCATTAGACACTTCTTGGCTGCAATCTTCAACCCTCCTAGGTATAAAAATGTTAATAACTTTTCTAGTACTAATCCTAAAATTTACTATTGACCAGTTATTTTCTTAATTAGATAATTTTATATTGTATAAGATAATTAAATGTTGTCATTTAAAAAAATTAAGTTTTTAACCCTGTTTATAAAGAATGAATAGAAAAAAAGTTCTTAATAATTTTTTAATCGAGAAATATACGATGATTGATTTATCATTAACTACTTAATTTTTTCTTAAAAAATAATTATTTTTAGAATTTTAAATATTTAAATATTTTTTATATCCATCTATTTTTATTCCTTATAAGGGTAATTACCTATTGTAAAATATGATCATTTATATTTGACTAGTTTATATAATAAAAAATAANTATCCATCTATTTTTATTCCTTATAAGGGTAATTACCTATTGTAAAATATGATCATTTATATTTGACTAGTTTATATAATAAAAAATAACCAACTAAGAAAATGACTGGTTGATAATAACATTTGAATCAGTAGTTCAGAAGTTATGAATATTTTTAGACTTGAGTGAGAGGAGCAGTGTCCAGAGAAATCCATAATGATAAAAATAACATGACCTGTACCACTTCTCCAGTCAACATTTAAAATTATTAATAAAAATTGATTATTTTTACATTTTTATATTTCCCCGAACTTAACATGCTATAAAGAGTGGTAATTCTCTTTTACGCGTTATGAAATCAATGTTAGCTAGGTCAATTGTTAAAATTGTTGATAATTATCGAAATACTGGTTCAAATGTTATCGACCAGACATTATGTTAGTTGGATAATTTTCTAACATTTGATCTAGTAAACATACATGTTTACCATTTAAGAAAATAAAGTTAATACACTTATAAGGGACAAATGGATGGGTATAAAAAATATTTAAAATTTTATAAATCAAGAATTAAATAATACTCAACAAAATTAATAACATTTTTTTTTAAATTATTATTTTAGGGAAAATTTAATTATTTAATTTATAGTTCAAGTAATTGAGTAGATTATAATAAACAGATTGTCCTGTATATAAAACTATGTAGGTTGTGTTGGGTTGAGTAATTTTGTCTTATATTCAATAAACATGCATTTTAATAATGAAATATTAAAGTATTAAAAATTTTGAAGTACACAATAAAGTTATTATTGAGTGTTATTAATATTTTGGTGTTCAAAAATTAAAAACTTATTAAGAATAAACATATTTTAGTTTAATTTTTTTTATAGAAAATATTTGTCATAAAATCAAATTTTTAATTTGTTTTAGAAATTCTTGCTTTATAAAATATTTAACATGAGATTAAAAATTTTCGGAGGAAAAAATTAATACTTACTCTACTTATAAAATTATAATATAATATAAGTTAATTTAGTTTTGGGGTTATTCTAATTTAATTACAAACTAGAACCAGAAATGAATTATAAGAGTGCTTAAGAGGTTTGATTTTAAATATCTAATAAAAAATCACTTCACCAAATACACAAAATATATTCTGACAATATAAATTTTTTAAGACTATTAGGCCGTAAAAAATTGAAACAATAATTTTTTTTGAGTCGTGTTAATATCTGTACCTTGGGTTTAGAAGAATCTATCTACAATAATAAAAATGGCTTTTCTATTTTCAAATAACTGCTGTTGAAAAACAAATTATGTTGGTAATATCATCTGAGGTACACCTTTTAAAAGAATTTTCATTCTACTAAATGAAACTGAAATCATGTTTTAACATACTGAAGATATATATATATATATATATATGTGTGTATTTTTAATTTTTTTAAATAGTTTTTTCAATTCCTTTAATATTTGTTGATTAATTAATTTATTATATTTAAAAAAAATGTTTTTAGTAATTCTTGGTTCTGTTATTGATTAATTTTCATTTAAAACTCATAAAAAAGTCCTAGAATTGATGAAAATGTTAGATAAAAATTTTGTAAATGTGAATGTAACACAATAATTAATATTTAAACATCATGCTTTTTTGTGAATGTGTTAAAGCTTTCATGGATTGTCTTGTTGCTTGAAGTGCTTAAGGATTTATCTGTATTTGTAGTTAAGTTCTGACTTTTCGGACTCATTGTAGAGTCCATCTTAGAGTGATAGTTGCTAATCGGTGGCTGCAACTATACTATATCTTGCTTTTTTGTCATACTAACTAAATAATTAACTATTTTTACATTTAATATTTTTGTTAAGAGTAACATTTTTCTTTATTATTTTCAGATACTGCTGCTGTATATAACAATGAAAGTTACATTAAAGATGCTCTTAATGTGTTATTACCAAAGTATAAATTGACTAGAAAAGATTTGTTTATTACTTCAAAATTAGGTACATAAAAATTATAGATTTTGTTACAATTACAAAAATTTTATAATAAATGAAAAAATAAAATTGAACAATAATATTAGATTCATTATAAAATAATAATGACATTTGTTCTTATTTAAATGTTTCTATTTAACTATTTCTACTTTAATGATATATTTTTTCATATTTTAAAAGTGTTATTATGTGTTCTAATAGATCCTAAAGATCATGGCGATGAAAAAACAGTTATTAATGCTGTTAACAGATCTTTAAACAATCTTGGAACTGATTATTTAGATTTATTTTTAATACATTGGCCAGGAACTTTTAAGGTCAGTTCAAATAGCCCAGAAAATTTTAAAATGAGAAATTCTACTTGGAAAGCTTTAATGAAAATACATAATAATGGAAATGGGCCACTTAAGAATATTGGTGTATCTAACTATACTACAAAACATATAAAAGAAATCTTAGCTGATCCATCTAATGTTGTACCTGCTGTTAATCAAGTATTTTATTTATTTATTAAGCTAAACTACTGAGTTATTATTTTACTTTATGTTAAAAAATAAAAACACTTTATACTAATTGCCATGTTGAAGGGGCTGGCCTGATAATATGGGTAGTTACTAATGTTTTGGTAAATAAGGATTTTTATTCTTGAAGGAACAAAAAAAAATTGTTTAACTTTTTTTGTAGTTTTTAAACATATATATTTTTTTTTTTACAAACATTTAAAACTCAATAGTTTCTGAGAAAATGGATATTTTACCAGATATTGATGTCCTTGTATATTGTTGTCTGGTGAGGTTAAAATCCTTTAATTTCCTACAAAATTCTTTTCTTAATTAGTTTGAGCAAACTTTTTATTTAGAAAATTTATTTTTATTTATCTTAAGTAATTAAAATCATGTTGTTATTTAAATTTGTTTTTGATCTTAGTAGTTATTATTAAATAAAAATATCTAATTGATTTAATGAAATATTCAATGGTAATTATTACTGCTAAAAATATTTAGGTTGAATTTCATCCATACTATCAGCAATCTTCTGAGTTCCATAAAGTTTGTCGTGATGCTAAAATTATTTTGCAAGCATATTGTTCAATGGGTGGATCAGCTGGAAAAAATTCATTATTGAATAATGATATCATAACTAGTATAGCTCAAAAACATTCAATAAGTACTGCACAAGTTTTATTAAAATGGGCACTTCAAAGGAATTATGGTAAATAAAACAATTCATTGAGTTTATAATTTTTTAATTATTACTGTATACAATTCTATTTTTAGCTATAATCCCCAAGTCAGTAACTCCAGAAAGAATTAAACTAAATATTGAATTAGACAAAGAACTTACTAAAGAAGACATGGAGAGCATAAATAACATAAAACATATTGAAAAATTTGCTTGGCAACCAGAAAAAGTATTCTAGACCGAAATTATTAATGCTAATTGTTAAAAGAATATTAACATTTTATTATCAAATCAATATTATACGAAACTGCAATATGTAAATGTATGGTAAAATATATAATTATTAATTTTTTTATTATTTATATGTTATGAATACTGTGTTAATTATTTTACACAATTTTAACTTTGAAAATAAAAATATCTTTAAATATTATTAATCTATTTCAGTCGAATTTGTAAGTCATAAAATGATAAATAATATTTATGATTTTATTTATTCAGACTATTTATGTTACTAATACAACATGTTAATTATTAAAATAATCAGTTTTGCATCCTGTTATATCCCAAAATTAACATGCTATAGAGGGTGGTGACTATCATATACATGTTAGGGAGTTAAATATGGTTCTTGGATAGATCAATGAAGGACATCATGGAACACTGTACACCAAAACATTCATTTCTACCTACTAATATTAACTACCCATTAATCACTGTTTTTTCATCACTATGATTTTTAGGTTCTATTAGAACACATAATAACACTATTATAATATGAAAAAATATATCATTAAAGTAGAAATAGTTTAATATGAACATTTAAATATGAATAAATGTCATTATTATTTTAGAAGGAATCTAATATTATTGTTAATTTTATTTTTTCATTTAATACAGAAATTTTCTAATTGTAAAAAAATATATAATTTTTATGTACTTAATTTTGAAGTAATAAACAAATCTTTTCTAGTCAATTTATAATTTGGTAATAATACATCTGAAAAACATTACTTTAAACAATAATCATTTAGTTAGTATGTCAAAAAAGCTTGATTTTTAAATAATAAAAGAAAGATTCAAATTAGATTTTTTTTATTAGGAGTTGTTGTCCCCAATCTCTCTTTCATGTTTTCAGAAAAAGTACAAAATTAAAAAATAAAAATAAATAGTTTTTTATGAAGGTTATAGAAATTTAAGGCCAAAGTAAATATTTAAAAAAAAAAAAATGGGGACATAATCCCTTAACCGCACTCTTTTTAATAGGCAAATGTAATTTACATTATTTTTTTAAAAACACTTTAAAATATGTTTTTACACAACAATTGAATAAATTTGTTTGAATTATTTTCATTTTAAACACATACTTTTTTTGTATCTTTAATATTAGTTTTTACCACGAAGATAAATCTAAATGTACATATAAAATATTTATGGAAAAAAACAGTAGCTCAGTGGAGTCGCGGCACAGTATGGAAGTGGCATAGTTGGGACAAGTATATATTTAATCTGACAGTGATTAAAATCACTATCATAAGATACGCTTCGATGCAAATCTGTAGATAGTGTTTAATTTTAAGAAATTAATAGATTATTTCAAAAGCAACAATAACTCTTATTCCCTTAATTTTATCCCGATTAGTAATTTGATTTATCATTATAATATATGAATAATTAATAATTATAGTAATTAAATTTAGAATGAAATTGATATTCAATAATTTTATATTATAATTTTTAGGGAGATATTATAAAAATAATAAAGTAGTTGTATATTTGTTTACTTTTAACGCGTATAAAAATTTAAAGTCCTTGATGCAATATTTTTCAATAAAAAATGATTGTTATTTATAACAAAGTTATAAGTTTTATACAATGGACTATAAGAAAATTTCATCAGAAACAAAAACATACTTTTTTAAATCTTTTTGCAATGTTTGCAAATGTGTAGTTAGACTTTTTCTATCATTTCTAAGTTTTAATATTAATAATATTATTAAAAAAATAAGTATTTACATGTAAAAAATTAATTAAGAACAAAAAAAAAATTGTTTTAAATTAATACTGATTTTGATTATTAATATGTTAAAAATAAGGAAAAGTTTATAATTAAATAAAATTAATTTATTACCATAACTTTTAGTTCAATTTTCATGTTTAAAATTGACATCATTAAATCGAATATTTTATGAAGACAAGTTCCGAGGTCAAATTTTTTTTTTAAATTAAAAAGTATATTATATAAGCTTTAATTTGAGCTATATATAAAAGTGTCAGTCTTTCCGAAATATTTTCAAAAGTTAATTTTTTGTAAAAAAGTTACCATTTTAAAACCCTTTTTTGTGGGCTGGTAAAGGGTCAGCTGTTCACAAAAATATATCAAAAGATAGGTAAATACCTAAGGTATCTATAAAAAAAAATTTATATTGATTTGGTAATTTTTAAAAAAGTTATGGCAATTTTAAGTAAAAAAAATTGAAGAAATGTCGAAAATTAGCAATATGTAATTTTTTGGGGGATTTCCCCCGTTTACGGGCAACGAGGGAATTTTTTTCAATTTTTGAAGGTAATGTCTTATACTAGATACGGTTTGTAATCTTTTGACATATTGTTCATAAAAATCCGTCCAGCGAGAGTTGAGATTGAGCGTTCACAGACACAAAAAAAAACACATCATAGTAAAATTAATACCTTCTCAGCTTCGCATCGAAGCTAAAAAATTACACCTTGAACTTTTATCTTTGAGAACGCGTTGAAAGTTTTTGGGTATCTACCAAATTTTAATAATTTTTAACCAAAGTTAACTCTTTATTTTTATAATATATCATTGTATAATTTTGTTAAATTTAATGGTTGAACCGATTGCATGTTGTAATGGAGTTTACTTTTTTGGAGTTCATGACAGTAGATAAATTATATACATATATTATTATATATGTATATTATAGTATATATAATTATTATTGTGATAATAAAATGAAAATACTAATAATAAATATATAAAATATTTATACTTTAGAAGTCACTATAATATTTTATAAAATTCTTTTTGATTATTTAGTTACACTACTTTGTTTACTAACAGTTATTTTTAAAACTCTTATATTAGTTTCACATGTATGTTGTTTGTTTGTTATAAGTTTGTGTTTGTTATAAATATACATAAGTATATTTATTATACATGAGACGTATGTCTATCATCATAGAAAAGCCCCTTCATTGACTAGTGTATAACATCAGATAGGGAGAGTATAATTAACTATTGAAATATTCTCAACATAACTTATTATAGAGACTTATATGGAAAAATTTTTATTTTTTTTATTACCAAACGATTTCTTTCAACGATACGTCAAAAGATCACAAATCGTATCTAGTCGAAGACATTACCCTCAAAAATTGAAAAAATTTCCCTCGTTCCCCGTAAATTGGGGAAATCTCCAAAAAAATTACAAATTTATAAATCGAAAATTTTTTCAATTTTTTTTAAAACTGCCATAACTTTTTCAAAATTAAACAAATCATTATAATTTTTTTTTAATAGATGTATAGTGTCCTCACCTATCATTTGATATATTTTTTTTATGAATTTTACTCTTTACCTGCCCATGGGGGCGGATTCAAAATGACAACTTTTTCACACAAAATTAACTTTTAACGATTTGTGATCTTTAGACGTATTGTTTATCAAAATCGGTCCAGCGAGAGCTGAGATTGAGCGTACACAGACACAAAAAAAAAAATAATAAAAAAACAAAAAAAAGAACATATAGTAAAATTCATAATTTCTCAGCTTTGCATCGAATCTAATAGTGGTCTACTAAGCTTAGTTGGAAAGGTATCATGCTTGTGTAGGAATCAGGGTTAAAATTAAATATGTCATTTTAGAATTTTTCAAATTATTTACCAGCTCACCTTTTCCCTAAGATGTGATCGATTTATTTAATAATAATCAAAACCTATTACATTTAAAATTAAAATTACAATGATGGAACTTATTCTAAAATTATTTAAACGATAATAAATAAATAATTTGTAAGGAGTGTTCTTCAAAACTACTTAAAATTATATACATATATAAAATGTTTAGTACTAGAATACTTTAATTTATTTTTATAATACGCTCAATAGATCTTTTTATCAACATTTTGATTGTTTTTTTAGTTAAAGTAAATCATTAAAATTAATCAAGTTCTGAATATTTTAATTGTAGAATCTTTTTAAACACCAAAAGTTACTTAGAAATGATTACTATGATTTCTATTTAAGTAATCTTATTATTAATACTATTAATATGGAGCTTTTCTGATAAATTTACAGTCAATAATAATTTTTATAATTTCCTGACTGCATATTAATCTTAATAATACAATTTTTTTCATAAAGTGTTGAATAATTCAATACTTCAAAAAAAATTATTAAATTATTTAATAATGCAAATTTTAAACTTGAAGTTGAACTATAAGTTATAGCAACAAATTCAACATTTTTTTTTATTATAAACTTTCAAAAAATTAACTTTAAAAAACCAAAAAATAGGTTAAAATAATATTTTGTACTGATTATTTTTAACTTATTAAAAAACAAAATCTGTAATAATTTAATAACAATTTTTTTTGTTTTTAATTATTTTTTTATTGTAATAAATCATTTCAAAAGAAATATTTATCATTTCTATGTAACTCTTGGCGTTTTAATAGATGGTACAATTAAAATATTCAGAACTGATTTCCTTATAGTTATATCCTATAATTTTTGACTAATTGGTAATATCAAAAGTTAATGGTGATAAAAAAAATCTTATTGCAGATTTGAAATTAGCACAAAAAATTGAATAATAAAAATATATTTTTGAATCTGATGAAAAATCCTTGTGAAACCTTTAATTTGTAATGAACAACAAATTATTTTCTAAAATATTTTGTAACAAGCCCTTCAATTTTTATACATGGTTACTATAAAAGTCATGGCTACTTTATAATTTCTCCTAAATAATTACAATGCTAAATTATTAAATTCTAATTTCATACTATAATTAATTATTATAATAAATATTTATTGATATCTTATACTTATTAATCAAGAACTACTATACATGAATAATGAGGAAATAGGAATTCCTTTTGCTTTTGGTATAATTGACTAATTTCTTAAAATTAAACACTATCTATAGATTTGCGTCGAAGCGTATCTTATGAAAATGATTTTAATCACTGTTAGATATCATCTATACTTGTCCATACTGCGCCACAACTCCACTGTGCTACCGTTATTATATTTTTGATTTTATATTTCTATAACTTTTTTATATTAAAATGTCTTGTAAGAATTTGCAATATTAATGAGTTCACAGATTTTTATA